AGTTGCTGTGAAGTGTAGACATAGTTTGATAATAGGTAATTTTCCAGTTGCCAGTTCTTCTGGAAGGCTTTTGGTGCCTGGAAATCTTCTTCCAACTGAGATTGCTCTGTTTCCTGAAGCACAGGTTGACTCCTGTCCTCCCTGAAGTTGGCATGAATGTATTGTCTTTGAATGAAATGGGAAGAGGTAAGAATTTTGAATTAGGGAAGAGTCAGAAGTGGAGGAATTGGTGATCACATGAAACGTGTGCTGCTTCAGAGCAAGCTGCCTTCTGAGTCAAAAAAGAAAGGATTTTTGGTAAAACAGGCAAACAAAAAAATGACAAGGAATTGGCTGCACCATTGACTCAAAGGATTTCTCTTATGTAAATCAATCCCCATGGGAGGCTATAAATGTTAGGTTGCTCTAAATTAGCTGAGGATGATGATGTCCTCTAAGTTAGGGGAGGATCAGTTTGTCCTCAGATAGCCTTCTGACTGGAGGGATGTGTTTCCTATCATTGCAGCAATCTGTGATAGAAAATAAAAAACTACGCTCAGCTCCAGGCTCTTCCCTATCCCTGAAACAAAGACTCTAATGATTTCCCTTGTCTCTGACATCCTAGTAGTTACAAGTCAGTTTAAATACTAATTGGCATTTACGTACTAATTAATATTGGCATTTTCCATCAAAGTTTTAGAATGAAAAGTCTGGGGCTAAAAGTGTCTTCATGGAAAAATGGTTTTATGAAGGAATAATGTTTTCCATCAAATGAAGAATACAATTTTCACCCCCTTTTAACTAAGGAAAACCCATCTTTTCTCACTCAGAAATACTGTTTTCACCAGAGTCTACTTAGAAAAACACACACTGAAAAGAATTCTCAATTAACTCATAATATTTTTACTTTCAACATCTGAAAATACTGTATGAGCAAGATCACAGTCCAGTTGGGTATTTTGGACACAGCTTAGATTTATTCCCTGTTGAGTAAAGCAAATGCATTTCTGGTAGCACAGCCCAGGACTCTGAGGACCACCCCTCACTCATCCCTACCAAGCAATAATGAAGAGGAGTGCAGAGAATGCAGTCCCTGACAGCCTACCTTGTTGTCTCCTATCAGATAGGATCCAAGAAGAGATCCTGCTCAAGGCCTCTCATCTAATAAATTGGCCTAAGACACAGGATTCTGAAGTTTTTTCTGCTTTTTTTTTTTTTTGTTATTTGTTTTTATAAGCTTTATGCCTGTCAGCAAGATGGTTAAAACATCCTGGATTATGCTGTCAGAGTACCTAAAAAAAAATCAAAGTATATCTAAAAGTTTCCAAAATGTATTTCTGTCATCATTGAAAAAGTTTTGAGAAAGTTAGGACCAAACAGCTGTTTATTGGTTTTTTAAATGAAGTTCTTATAGTTGTAACTCACTCTTTAGCACTGTCACAGAAACAGGAAGGGGCCACTTCAGTTGTATTTTGTTCTTCTGTAAATATGCTTATATAGCCCCATTTATATATATATATAAAATCTTCACTATAAGAGTTGTAGCAGTCCCCATCATACCCTTAGTTTTATCTCTGTCCTTCCAGCCTCCTCTATGACTTTTTCCCCCTCAAAATTAATACCTAGAGTCAGTGTTTTGCATACCATAATTTATCTTAGTAAAATTTCATTTCCATTTAGAACTGTACAAAGGTGAGACCCTTGTCTTGATGAGTTTGGATTTCATTTTAATTTTTGAAGAAGTGAACAATAATACAATTTGGCTGAAATATGGCAAAAATTTCCTGGTCTTCACAGCAACCCACAGACAATTCAGTGCATGTATGTACAAAAATATTAGACTACCTGAGTGGATCATTTGCTGTGCTGTGTTTCCTCTGGAATTAGGGGATAAGGATAGCAGAAAAGAGTTGTAAGAGCTGAGAAATCTAGAAGATAATAATGTGTTCCTTGTCTTGAAAATCACTTTCAAGAAGCCCTCTGGGAATTATGACTTCTTTTATGCTTCTGCCATCCCTTTACCAGCTCTTTCTATGAATAGTAGATGAATTTAGGACCTAATGTTGCATTTGAAACTGTTGCTGTGAATCATTACACTCAAAAACACACCAGAACTTTGTGCTGGCTCCAAGGATTCACTCATACAACACACTGCTGAATAAATTGCATCCACAGGTATCCTAGGAAGAGCCTTGGGAGGATGCCTCAGTAAATATTGTGATCAGTTTTTAAAATCTATTTGGTTGGCATCCTCATTGGTGCTTTACAGAACAGGGGCTGGTATTTTGAAGGGAAAAAGAGAAATATTCTCCAGAGAAAACTAAACACAACCATCAGGAGTGACTGAACTTGTTCTACATCCACCCTACAGCTGGTTGTGGCATCAAACCTTTGCTTGCTATGACCAGTGCCTCCAACTTCTGTCATTTGTCACATTGTCAGGCAGATGCCAGAGCCTGTGATGAGTGGGTTTCCATTTCATGACTCTGAGACCCAGCTGGTACTGCCAGAAGCAGCACACTGTATGTGGCCTGAGAATTTGTACTTGAACTTTACTTGTTCCAGGTGAAACTCACTTATAAATAAGAAATAATATATTTCACTTTGGTATTTCTACTGTCAAATCTATAGAAACTAACTGTCAAAGTTGTCCTTGCAGGAGATTTCCCATTTTAACCCATTTGGGATATTCATACGAGCCTAAGTGTTGTGGAAAAGCAATTTACTAGCAGTTTCTTGTTTTGACTTCTGTAATCCCTTAATCTTTCACTTCTTCCCTTTCTCCAGTTCAGATTTGTTTGTTTTTTCTACTGCATTGTCTCAGGTACTTTCCTGGAAACAGGAATCCATCTGAAATTGTGTAGCTCTTGCACATGCTCATGGAATTCTGTCATGTAGAGCTCTGGTTCTCTTTTGACACCTCCATATTACCTGCCAGTATTTCATGACAGTTGCTTATGTATTTGCAGGAAATACATAAAACAACAGTGAAATAGTAATTTTTTTTGTTTGTTTTCAGTTGTTTCAGACACAGATATATATATATTTTTTGACACCAAGTGATTTTCCTCTTTCTTTATGTGACCTTGGAAATAAAAAAGTTATTACAACTGCAGTTGTCTTGGACTGTTGAGCTGGGAGAGGTTGTCAAGGTGTCTCCAGGGGATGGTCAGTGACATTTTGAATCTGGCACACGTGGGAGCTGAACTTCAGAGAATAGTGAGCTTTGTGAACAGCTGCAACTTTGCTCTTTTTAACTGCCTTTTGCTTGCTTGAATAACTGTACTTTCTGTGAAACTGAGTAAAGAAATGGTGAAGGAGAATAGATGTAATGACTATAAAAATAAGTGAAGGAGAAAAAGGACATAACGTGACTTCAGTGTAACTTATCTGTGACGTGCTGATGTGTTATTTTTTTCCCTGATGTAAAGGTTAGATCCATTAACTGGTGGTCTTCCAGTGAGGACAGGGAGCTGACAAGGCATGAAGGGCTTGGGCCAACAAGACCATGCAGTACTTGATCTTTGAATGCACGACTTGTATCGTCAGCAGCAAAAATGACTTGACTTTCGTGTTCCCTCTACGTGTGAGGAAATGAACATGAATTAATAGCTACAGTAATTTCCTCTGGGTAAATCTGTCTAAATGATCTTAAATATTAGAATGCTGAAAGCCTAATGGCATGAATGTCTGACATGATGAACATCTACAGCTGTTTGTGAAGCCAAAGGGAGGTCTGGGTGCTCACTCTCTTTGAAAATCAGGTCACAACACCAACAACATCTTTATGAAGGCAATCCCCTTGATTTCAGGAACATTTACATAAAATTGCAGCAGGATGACAGCCTGATGTCCCAACTTGAGTTTCTAAAAATCACAGGGCTTGGAACTAGTTGTCTTTTTTGCCTTCTGAGAGATGTGAGGGTATGAGGGGAGTGTTTTTATTCCCAACTGTTGAATTCAGCAGTGATTTGCATTTCTTCTGAAGAGTGAAACAGTATTTTGTCCTGAGGACTAAATGGTAGGAAATTAACACCTGAGTTGGGTTTTGCAGTTCACCTGTGTGATTATAATTTTTCTGTGTCACAAGGTATTTGTCAATCTGTTACACAGGATGCTTTTCTTTTGTGTTTATTGATATTTTTTTTGTCTGTGAGGAAAATTATTTCTTGTCAGTGTTGTCATGTTATTGGATAGTTTTACCAGAATATGCATTTAAGGGAAATAATTTTTTAAAGACTTGAAGATTTGCCTACAATGTATTTATCTATTAGACTCTGTGCTCCTGTATTGTCATGGTCCAGACCTGACTCCAAATGCAGCTCTCACTTATTTTCTCAGCTTCTCCTAGGTTAAATGTACCAATGGTTTACTCAAGACACAATCAATCTTGGTGACCAAGTTAGCAAATTTTAGGAATCTGCTGCCCAGTGATGATTGTGTATATGCATCCAGTCTTTCCTAACAACAAATTAAATGGATTAGTCATAAAGATCCAATTATTTTCATACATGGCTATTTAAATTGAAGTTTTCCTGCCCCCTGAGCTGAGCTGTGTGACCATGAGCAAACTCCTCCACCTCTGCAATGAGAAGTTAAACAGGTTCATTGAACTACTAACTCAGCAGACAGCAGTTTTGCTCAGTGACCATCTACTGTGGTCTGTGTGGTTGGTTCAAAGGAAGGATTGTGCCTAGACAGCAAAGCAAGAAAAAAAGAGAGAGGAAAAAAGTATCTATATTTTCTCTCCCTCCTGTTTGCCCTGTGTCTCTGTAATGTGGCAGCCATCAGACAGTAGTCACCTATAAATTGATTTATAGCTTGAAAGAGGCTGAGAAGCAATAAAATCTAAGCTTACCTAACACCTGGTAGCATTAACTACAGTTCAGAAACTTCAGTCTAATATAAGAGGGAAGATAATTTCAGTTTAGCAAGAAACAGGATTAATGAATTCTCCATCCACTGTGACTAACTGATGCCTTTGGGAAAGCTTCTTAACCTCTGTTTTTTTTCCTTAGCAGATCAACACAGAAAATGAACTTTCATGGGAAAGCATTGAAGGTGCTTATGAATTGTGACTATTCTGTATAAATAAAAACAAGTACTCAATGATTGGTAAAAATGTTTAAATGTTAACCCCAGGGAAAAGAATTTATCTGCTTTTCTTTCTAAAAAGTTACTTACTTCTCTCTGAGATGCTGGGTAGTGAATGCTGACTAAAAGAGTAGTGCTTTGCTTTATTTATATACTGATGGTTATAAACCTGCACAGTAAAAGGTAGCTTTATCAATGAGCATCTCTTCCCTTTTGAGCAGCCATCTCACTGGGCTGAGACAAGCTGGATGAAGGTAGAGGGCAGGTTTTGCTTCACAGCAGAAAGTCTTCCTCATTTTGATGGACTTTGGGCTTTTTTTTCATAGAATCATAGACTGTTTTGGGTTGGAAGGGACCTTGAAGATCATCTAGTTCCAACCCCCCTGCATGGGCAGGGACACCTCCCACTAGACCAGGTTGCTCCAAGCCCCATCCAGCCTGCCTTTGAACATTTCCAGGGATGAAGCTTCTACAACTTCCCTGAGCAACCTGTTCCGGGGTCTCACCACCCTCACAGCAAAGAATGTCTTCCTAATGTCTAACCTAAATCTCCCCTCTTCCAGCTTAAAACCATTGCCTCTGGTCCTATCACTACACACCCTGGTAAAAAGCCCCTCCCCAGCTTTCCTGGAACCCCTTCAGGCACTGGGAGGTGCTCTAAGGTCTCCCTGGAGCCCTCCCTTTTCCAGTCTCAACAACCTGACGTCTCCCAGCCTGTCTCCAGAGCAGAGCTGCTCCAGCCCTTGGATTATCTTTGTGGCCTCCTCTGGACTCACCCCAAGAGCTCCATGTCCTTCCTGTGCTGAGGGCTCCAGAACTGGACTCAGTGTTCCAGGAGGAGTCTCACAAGTGTGGAGCAGAGGGGCAGAATCACCCCCTTGATCTGCTGGCCACACTTCTTTTGATGCAGCCCAGGATACAGTTGGATGTCTGGGCTTTTTTAACAACAACCAAACAATTTTTTAATAACATACATCAATACACTCCTTGCTAGGAAGACATGGAGTCTGTATATTCCCTAGTTTGCATGATTTAACTCTGTAAAAATCCTCTTGTGTAACTTCCAAGCAAGCACCAACCTTATTAAATAGGTATTTATGGGTCTAAGTGGTTAAATGGGGCATCTTCCTGATCCTGAGGAATAAGTTTTGAGATGGAAAACCATAACATGAAAAAATGTTAGTAAATATTCCTACTGGCATGAAAAAGAGAACATCTGCTGGAGTCAGGAGTGGTTTGTTGCTTGAGTTAGCAGCAGAACAGCCTGCAGCTGATCAGCTATGGCTTGATAAAAGAGCAGTGAATAGAGATGTTTGTCACATCAAGTTGCTTGAAATGACACTAAAGGTGTTAAAAATATGAGAGTTCACATATCTTTTTAATTCTTGGTAACTTCAGGAACTGCTGTAAGGATTGCTAAACTGTGAGTAGCATTTGGTAAGGTGACAAATGTTATTGTCCCAAGTGGCACATTCCCTGACACTCTGTGAACATTTCTTGGGTGGGGAAAGGAGAGGACCTTCTGTTACTATGGGGTGATGTGACAAGCATCACATCATGTGGGCTAGGATGATAACTCAAGCCACAGCTGGAGGACCCTTTCTGGCTTTCCTGGAATGGTGTGGGAAGAGGATCTACTTGGATCTGTTCAGCTGGAGGACAGGAGCTTTCTCAGTCTGAAGCCACTTCTCTCTGTCTCCAGGATCCTGGCCTTAACAGGCCATGAAGATTCGATTGCCTGATACTCTACAGGTGAAGCCTATCAAAGGTAATTCTGCACTGGCTGAAAAATAGAAAGCTTGTTTTCTCTGCCTTAGGCAGTTTTGTGGCTGAATAAGGGCAGCTTTTTTACTCTGATATTGTAAGTTATGTTTTTGTAAGATGCTTCATTTTGGCATAGTTCTTGTGAGAGTCAAACACTCAGTGCCTTTAAAGGAATAGAATTTTTTTAAAAATTATACCTATTTTCTACAGAGAGAAAATGTGTGCAAACAGCACATGGGTTTAAACAAGGTAAGTCAAGTTTTCCATAGTATTTGTGACTGACACACACCTCTGAATCTTCTTGGGTCACCTGCACTCAGCTTTGACTTAACAAAAAGTGTGGTAAGATGTTCTGCTTCTCTGATTCTGAAAGTGTACGGAGGACTTCTGATCTTCGTTTTTATTGCTACCTGGATAAAGTAAAGAACAATGGCAAGTCTTACCTTATCTGTACAATATTTGACAGTGGATGATGGATCTCTTGTCCAGAAAGCCAAGAAGAGGTGCACAAGAAGCCACCAATTAATCCAGTCTGTAAGAAATCTATTTACAGTCACAGGAAAAAAAAAGATGCTTTAATTCAATTTTATATTGGTTTAAGCTTAATAAGTTGGTTTATGAAAGCCAGCTGATAAGCCATTTCTGAAGAGAAGGGGGAAAGCTGGTACTGTAGAAGTATGGCAGCTGTTTAGTCTGGAGAAGAGAAGGTTGAGATGGGATCTTATTAATGTCTATAAATATCTGAGGGGGTGGGTGTCAAGAGGAAGGGGCCAGTCTCTTTTTGGTGGTGCCCTGTGATAGGACAGGGAATAATGGGTTCCTCAACATGAGGAAGAACTTCTTTACTGTGAGGGTGACAGAGCCCTGGGACAAGCTACCCAGAGAGGCTGTGGAGTCTCCTTCTCTGGAGACTTCCAAGACCCATCTGGTTGTGTTTCTGAGTGACCTGCCCTGGGTTCTGTGCTGGTCCTGCTCTAGCAGGGGGCTTGGACTTGATGATCTCCAGAGGTCCCTTCCAACCCCTAACATTCTGTGATTCTGTGATTCTCTGGTCTAACATAATTAAAGGTCAAACATACTCATAGAAGAAAGTTCCCCAAAACTGCACAATTGTTTAATGTCTTATGATATACAGATTTGCTCTTGCTGTACTTGCTTTGATATGCTTTGGGGAAGATCAAACATTATATACAAGATTTCCTGATATTACATCCCAGCTTTCATCTTTTTCAGGCAACTGGTTAGAGGTAGGAGTAGGTTCTTTGTCCCAGTTTTCTTAGCTCTTGCTCAGCTGAAGCTCCTGGAAATCACTGTGAATTTTTTTTTAAAGGTAGAAACCCCAAAATCTAGAAACTGAAAATGTATTTAGTAATAGAGAAGGCTTTGGCAGGACTTGACTCACCAAGGTGAAGTTTAAGACACCACAATTAAAAAAAAAAAGGGTGGACAAACATTTTATTTGTGCTTCCCTGGTGTCTCCATCAGTAGATGCCAAACTGCATCTTAGGCTTGATAAAGAAATACACACAGTTCAGTTTCATCATACTTTGAGACTTTTCATTTGAAATTTGATGAAGATGGTATGTTAATTAGATGCCAATAAAAATACAGAAGCAGTGATGTAAGTCATTCTCATTTGCACTATTTGCACTCTGGTCATTGGTTCCATGTTGAGTTTTCAGTTACAGCATAAAATGGGATGAAATACTTGAAACTGCTTTTTTTCCTATTTATTTATTTATTTATTGCTGCTGTTGTTCCCCATTTGCAAGTTTTTAATTGTAAAAGATGCTGTAGATGGAGTTTTTCTTCTTTGCACTGCTGTCCTATTTTCCCATGATATCCCCTGGGGATCTAACATGAGTTTAACTAAGTCCATTTTTTCTCGACTGACAGAACAAATGTTCAGAAGCTTTAAAATTTAAAGAACAAAATGCAGGGAAGCAGCTTAGAAGAAGCAGGAAATAGTAGAATAGCCTTCTTTTTGTTTACTTGCTTGCTTGCTTCTGGGTTGTTTTTGTTTGCTTTTAATTTCCTCTAATGATGTTCCATTTTGAGAGTTAGACATTCCCAACATCCTCCATCTATATCTAAAAGGAAGGACCTCCATGGATCACCAAGGACTTGCAACCAGTAGGGAGAAAATATGTGCAAACTTTGCCAGCAAATGCACCTCTTTGCATGGAGATAATTTTCATGTCACGCAGTTTAATGTTCATGAATATTTATGAGGCAACAAACTCTGTGGATATTAAAGAATATTGTCCTTTTCAAGGGCATTTCTTGCTTAAAAAGAGCCATTTGAGAGCTACTTGGAGTAAAAAGTTTTGTAACTATACCAAGCAGTTTGGAAAGTCCAAAAGTGAGTTGCTAAAGATATTTACATGTATTGTCTGCTCTGTTTACTCTGAAGTGGTTTGTGCAGAAGAAAAACACAGCAAGAGTTGTTTTGAGTTCAACGAGTTGACTTCAAGTGGTCTAAAATCCACAGTCTCGTGTGGTCTGAAATCCACATTCTTGTGTGTATGAACATGAAAATGACATTCAGGAACACTAATAAGTGGCAATACTGATGCAAAACTGGTGTCGGTTGGGTTGGAGGATAAAAAGGCTCAAGGACCAGCCTTTTCAGGATGGCATTTTACCCGGTGCTGCTCCCAACTTCGCTGCATCCATCGGGGGTCTGACAGGGTGGTCCTCATGTCTGCACATCCTTCCCGTGGCTCAGCAGGGCTCCTGGATGGAGATGAGTTTCTGCCCGAGGGACCTGTTGGGAGATCCCACGGCACCGTGTGCTGCGTTGGGAGGGTTCCCTGTGGAGCTGGAGCTGCCCCTCGGTGCCTGATGCTTGGGAAGAACGTGCAGAAAACACTCGCAGCCTGTGTCCTCCCCGCTGCATCCGTCTCCAACATCTCCATCCCGGGTTTCCCCTCGGGTTTACGGTCCCCACGCGTGGATCTGCTGGACCTGTTGGGAGATCCCACGGCACCGTGTGCTGCGTTGGGAGGGTTCCCTGTGGAGCTGGAGCTGCCCCTCGGTGCCTGATGCTTGGGAAGAACGTGCAGAAAACACTCGCAGCCTGTGTCCTCCCCGCTGCATCCGTCTCCAACATCTCCATCCCGGGTTTCCCCTCGGGTTTACGGTCCCCACGCGTGGATCTGCTGGCGGGCCGAGCACGACACCTCCCGTTCCTTTAGGAAACCCGTCTGGCCAGCAGAAC